ACACACACACACACACACACACACACCTACACACACACACACTGTTCCGTGGTGAGGGAGGTTTACAGGGAGGAAAACAGAAAACATCCCCATAACCGACGGGTAAGACTGCGTGTGGAGTGACACGAGCGAGGCATGGCAGGCCTGTCCGTCAAATTAATGCAGAATTGATTAAACATTTAGCTTCTGAGCAATTTATGCAAAATTTTACGTCCAGCGTCTTCCATACACGCTAATCACTGCGGCAGGTATCGCCATCCTCCTCCTCCTCATCGTCTTTTGGCTTAAGTCGGACACCACTGTTTGCGCAATAGTGCGATTTAAGTCAACAAACCTGGTTAACTGACTACGCCAATTACGCAGACCTAATCAGCCACTTTGTAGTTACATGCACAAGCACGCGCACCTCCAAGGACCTCCAAAACGCACGCACGGGAACCCCCAGGTTAACGTGTGGGCTGTAGGCACATTCAGGGTCCCGCGCCAAACGATTTCAGAGTGAAGAGTGTGTAACATTAATACTGCGACCCCTGGAAGACTGACAACCGCTGCGGTGCACCTAATGGGAATCTTAATAAAGTATCTATGTACCCCGAGTAACAAATCAATGCAAGATGTAGGCCTATATCGATCAATACCTATGAAGTACTCATGATGAAGTAATGCGTTAGGGTTTGGGGAGGCTGAGGGGGGGCTGTCTAATATCCAGCAGAGTGTTTGCGGTCTCTTCAAATCATCCCTCTGGCTCACCGCTCTTCTAAGTCCTCCCCTCTGTGTGTGATCGTCTATATTAAGACAAATTACAACGTGCGCTTTAAAAAGGTGCCGGTCTCCCCGCTTTGTAGTTTCGGGCGCACAGTAGTGTGACAGAAACCCAGCAGCATGCTCCTCTTAAAAAAGAACGAAAAGTTTTGTTCTCTCTCGGCCGTAAATACATTTTAATATTGTAAACGGTCTTCATGCTAAACTCGGTGGCCAAATATCAGTTTGCATTCTGATCCATTTGGCACGTAAATATTCAAACTACCGCAGGGAATGTTTCGCTGGCACCGAGATGGACTAGCTGTGAGCGTGTTTGGGCTAAAAGAAAACTCAAATAGCCTTCTCAAAATGGGCGTAAATTCAGCACGGGGTATATTCATACTCCTGGACTACATCAGCTGCAATTGTCTTTACCTCCCCTATTTAACGGCCACAAAGCGCTGCGCCCCTTTTGAAAGTCTAGCAGTGTTTTCTTCCCCCCTTCCCCTTTTTTCCCCTTTCTTTTTTTTTCAAGTGAACTTTGTCTTGATGGTGTTGCCTGGCCCTTCGTTCTGCACGTCCCCTTCTCTCTTTCCTTTCGGTCCGAACACTTATGAAAACTTCATGAAAGGAACCGCTCTGTTTAAGTTAAGCGGAACAAAACTCAGTACTATCGATTAATATCGGCGTAAATATAAAAACGGCGTGCTGCAAACAAATCTTCATAAAAGTAAATAAACCCAGGAGGTCTACAGTTGTGCGGGAAATATGTTGTACATGTTCTATAACATGTTCCATAGATGCTAAATAACTAGGAACAAAATTCGCTGATGTATACAACAGAAGAACGCGGTTCTTTATAGGCGTAAAACAGTCGTGGGTCTCACGAATTTCCAAAAAGAAGAAAAAAAAAGCTTATCCCCCAACTACGATATTTTACCTTCGACCCCCCCCCCCAAAAAAAAAAAAATAGTTTGTTTGTGTCCCTGCTCATGCGCTCAGGATCATGTGAATTTGGACTCTCCGGCTAAGAGATGCCCAGTGGCCGTATACTATCTTCTCCATTCACACAGACTGACGCAGTGGGATACAGAGTGGATGACAGGTGCTTAAAACACACATTACTTGTAAAGTTACAGCCTAATAGCAGCCGGCAGCTGCTGTCATGGACCCGCGAGGAGGCGCCTGCATGTGCAGCGCCGACCGCCTTTCCGTTTGTGTTAAAGTGAGCCGAGGTCTCCGAGGTCTTGGGAAGCTACAGTTCCAGGGACAGCGGGTAGATGGCACAATTTTCTTACATTTATGAACAGAGTGCAGGGAAGGCGTTTGCTTTAAGGAGAAGTGAAAGGCAATTTATTTTAATGGCGAAAGACAAAGTGGAGAAATGATCGCAAAATAAAACATTTAAAATAAAGAAAACTGCTACAGAATGGGAAAAAAACAGCCTTGCATCTGCTGATTGAGCTTTCATCACCACTTTATAGTCAATGTGTAATATTAATAATATTAATAATAGCAATAATAATAATATTAATTCTTTTTTCCTCTGTCTTCAAAGCCCGTGCGTTAACAAAGAGGCAGGTGCCCCAAGCTGCTAAGCCTTTGACTTGTAGGCTACATTGTAAATGAGCTGCGGTGCCTGAACCTATATGGAATAAAGCGCATGCAGTATGGGATAATTTGTCATAGTGATAGTGCCAAGGTGCAAATAATGTGCATATGTGCATTTGTGGCTTAACTGCGCAGACATGTACTTGTGTGCTTTCGTGTGAAGCAGACAGCGGAAGAGCAAGGGAATGCAAACCATATCCTTATCTTATTAAACAAATAGCGCCACTAATAGCCTGTGAGCCCTAAATAAGTTCTAAGCTTCTGTGTGTAAAACCCCAACAAACTAACCGAGCATTAAAGACTCTGTATACATGCCACAGCCTCGTAGCATCGTCAGCAGGCTGCAGGATTTTTCTTTAAACTTTTGCTTATAGGCAAAACCAGCTCGCGTGTCAAACAGTTTTCACGTCACGCAGACGTAAATAAAAGTGACGTCGCAGCAAGTTACACCTTGTTGGTTTTTCCCCCTGCATAATGCTAATAAATGGACAGAAGTAGAAATTATGGAGTCCAACATAGATCCAATAAGTCATGAAAAAAAAAAATTCTGTCACCTCAAATCAATCCGGTCAGTGTCGAAATCCAACCGGTCAAGACCCACTCGAAAGCTTTACTTTGACATACGCGGGTGAATTCTGCATCCCTCAAAGTGTTCACCCCCTGCTAACACTGTGAATGGTAAAAGTTTTTTTCTTTCTTTTTTTGAGTGGCCGGGGTTGCTCTACTTTAAACACTCTGTCCAATTAACTGATGATCTCGTGTAGCGAGATGTCCACCTTTAATTATCAATATGGGCTTAGTTTGGCCCCAGTGTAGGCTATACCTCAGGGACAGCTTGGTTGGACAAACAGGGGAAGCACCACTGTATGGATAAATAGCGCTTTCAGCAAGAAGCCAGTGATAAAAGACCATCAGCGCCACATTATAATCATCATTTTCTTCATTATCAACAGCAACACAACCACACAGGCGCACTCACAGATACACACCAGCAGCAGCGGCATGGAAAAAATGTGGTGAAGTTGGCTTTCATACCGATCCTGATAAAGCTTCTGCACAACAAGGCTAATTCTACTTCAGACTTAACTTCCAACTAAGCCAATACTAATAATAATTATAGGGCAAACAGTTTTAGCGTCAGAGTAGAGTGCGTGTAAATAGCTGGCACTGTAAACCTTTACATCCACTTCTCGAGTTTCTCACACACATAACAGCAACGATAACGATGATGTGCATTATGCCGCCTATAGTTCAGGAAGTTCTGGTAGTGTTGATGAAGCCCGGTGAATCGGTTGGAAGTAAAAATAAAAAGCAGAGCATAACAACCTAAACGACTGCCAGCGTTAGAGAGCAATTCTATATTCATGAAATCATTCAAAGCGGTTTCCCTTTCAATACGATTTATCTTATTTTGATACTATGCATAATGTACAGGCTCCTATATAAATTCCGCCCATTAATATTTATGCGAGCGTACAAAGGTGAAACTTTATTCCGCAGATAAAGCGGTGGGAAGGCAGGGTTTGGTATTTCCTGCACTATGGTCGCAGTCCCGTGTGAGGGCGGGCTACTGTTATGAAATGTTATTATCTGTTGAGGCACTGCGCCTTATTACAAGTGGTATTCCATTTCTGGGCTTTAACAGACAGCAACCTTGAATCCATCATTTTCCAAACAGTTTGGTAATTTAGAGATCGGGGTTTAGGAAGTATAACCTTATAGGAAAATTAAAAATAAAAATAAAAAAAGGGCGGGGGGGCGGTTAAGGTACTGAGCGGGCCTGTTGCCGGATTGATTAATTATTTTGTAATTCATTAATCACTTTCAAAGGGCAAAAGGGCAACATCCTGCTACAGCAAATTGACTCCAGTCACCCCCCCCCCCTTCCCCCTCCACCACCACCAGCACCACCTTCAACCGACCACACACACCCCCCGCGCACACGCGCGCGCACGCACACCCATACAAGGACAAGTTCACACATAAAGTTTGGGAAGTTAAAAAAAGAAACCATGAAAAACTGGTGTTTTCAAATTCATAAATTATAATTTAATACCAAGAACAAATTTACAGCAGAATGCTTGTTTACAATAAGCTAACACAAACAAACAAGAATTGTGTTCAACTATAAACTTTCACACACACTCACATATATCACTTGCAATTAATAATAATAATAATAATAATGATAAAAAAAGTATCTATACGTTATCAATACCCTGCAGTCATATATTTTTATATATTTATATAAAAACGTGGGTCAGTTTAAACTGTTCATAATTACAATCATGTATCATTCTCTGGTCCATATGTGGCTCCGAACAGCCAAAGATCAGTGTTCAATCAGTGATCCCTTTTAATTCAACCACAACATGGTGTTTTTTTGTGTTTTTTTTTTTTTTGTATGTGTGTGTTGAAGAAAAGCCTCAAAACAAGGACAAAATTGCTAGCTTCCAAACGCACACACACGCGCACGCACGCACACACACGTTCTCGCACACGCGCATGCACACCACGGCACCTGTCAGAGACCAAAAGGAGCCATAACACTAAAGTTAAAATATCAGCTCCTTTTTTTTTTTTATTTTTATTTTTTTAGATTTTTTCTAAATTTTTTTGTCCCCAAACCTGCTCACCCTGTTTAAGTCTGTAGCCTAATAATGAACGTCGTTTCTTTTCTTTTTCTTTTTCTGTTGCTTTAAATACAAGGGCTAGTGTACTGAATGCACAGATTATATCTATACAGTCCAAAAAAAGAGTGAAAGAAAGAGAGAAAAAACATTTACATTTATATATCAAAGGTAAAATAGGTTAGCGACCTGTGGCCATGCATTCACAGTCTAAATATACATGAAAAAGAAAACATTTGTAGTAATATGTATATACATTAAAAACATAACCTTCAGTGCTACTAGCTAAGTCTGCCACTCAATTTTGAAGACGTTGTATTACCGAGAAGAAAAAAAATGGCAACCACAGATTTTTCTTAATCACATATACTTTGTATGAAGGAAAAAACTTGTTGAAATGAATTGACCTATATTTACAAGAATACTGCCTCTAATCAGTTTTTTCAAGTGAAATACATGACTGGAGTTTCATATCTAATTGTGTCCCCCCCCCCCCCAAAAAAAAAAAAAAATGTTGTAGGCCTACTTTAACAACGTTTTGATACGAAATCACACCATGCTTGTCAGGCACTTAATGCTTGAAGTGAATAAAGGGTGACATTTCAGGGACGCTGTAATAATACTGCTATTAAACACTACTCTGGCTAGGCTTCAAACTTTTATGACCCTTGACCTCTCCAACTTTTTTTTTATTCTTCAAGCAAGCCAACTATGCTTTCAGTACAGTTTTCAGCTTCTGCAAAAGCTCTTAAATGCGCATGTACTGCATTTAGAGCAACGTATTTTACATACCTTTTATAACAGCAGGTCTAGGCAACTTCTAAAAATTTCCTTTTTAAGAAAAAATATTATTATTATTGTATCCAATTGGGGAACTGAAGCCAAATATTCAGAGCTGGATGAAACTGGGAAGATTATTCGCCAAATAATTAAAATCGTGTAAAGCCCTCCTGTCTGTCAGCGTCAAACTAATTAATTTAAAAATTTAAGAGAGCTTATGCAGCTTTAGTTAAAAGCAGGAGTGGAAAACAAAAGTGGATCCTGTAACTTCATAGTAATAAAGAGCGAAGTGTTTCCGCTGGGTCATAAAGTTTAACATGAACTCCAAAAAAGAAGAAGAAGAAGAAGAAAAACTCCCTTTTGTCCAGATTGGTCATCCTAACAACATAAGTGCGTTTGCAGCATTAAGCCTAGATCATAAGCCTATTCTCCTATTGCTGTGGTTTTAATTCTTTTTAGAACTTTTTTTTCTTTTTTTTCATTATTTCACCTTTTTCAAAATAAACCATTGTCTTAGAAAATAACACCACCTGTACTACAGAAATCACATAGGCCGGTTTGGAACCAGAAAGGAGGAACAAAGAAAGTACAAAACACAGCTATACATGGACACAGGACAAGTCATCTGAGAAAAGAAAATTCACGTTTCGTATTTTCCCTTTCTCCAGTTTCTCTTTTAACCCAAATTTTCATTTTTAAATGCACTTAATACTTAAAATTTCCTCACACGGATCAACAGAATCCTCTTTCCCTTTTTTTTCTCATTTTCTTCTTTCATTAAAAAAAAGGATCGAAGCAGGTTGTTCTGCATGAACACTGGGAGCATGTATCTGCCATTTTGAAAGTTCAATGGATGTCTCAATTTTTTTTTTTTTTTTGAGTAGGGGGGGAATTCACAGTCATTTACGTCAATGTCTTTCTTCATGAAAGCCAGCCCCGTGTAACAGCCGGTTTTTTTTTTTATTCCTTCCACAAAAGCAGCTATAATCATTGTAGTCTCGCAGCCCCCCAACCCTACCTTTTGTTTGTTCGTCGCCTTCTTGGTTTACTGAATTGGCATGTAAGGCCAGTTAAAACTGCTCCCCGAAAGCAACATATCCCTGATGAGAGTTTCAATGGGGGTTTTACCTACCAATCGGACGAAAAATAATTGTTCTATGACCGAGGAAGAGACTGTGCGGAGGGAAGGCAAGCGGAGTAACAACTTCCCAAACCGTGTTGGCTGGTTGGGATACTGGCTCCGGACATATTCCTCCAGGGCGCACTGGGACTTCTCCTGCAAACTTTCCACATGGGCCACATCTGAGAGGCCACAAGCATCTGAGAGGGGGGAAAGCAAATAAACATTAATAAAGTGTAACCTAAAGTGTTTCTCTCACTAGGAGCTTTTTCCCACTGTGGTGATACACTACAGCGAAAATTGATAGCCTGTCACATAAAAAAAAAAAAAAAAAAAATCAATTATTTGCAGAATAAAAATCTCAACATTACATGTAAACGTGTAGCTGAATGGTCTCAAGGCTTGATTTAATAAATATCGATTAAAAAAAATAATAACAAATTATTATATGACAATAATACAATAACCATAGCATTACGCTAAACAAATAATGTAAGGCACCATTAACCAAAATACGCTTCCACATGCATGCCAATTTATTTTGTTTAAACTATTTACTTTGATTTTTATTTTCTTATCTGCGTGTGTGTTTAATTTATGAAAAGGGGGGGGGGACTTGCCATCTTACAGGGGAAGATAAAAATGAGAACCTTGCTTCCCTCGTCATATTAATTCTGTGTTTCTCCTTTCGTCGCTATTATTATCTGTATTTTCCCCGATAAAGCCATTTAAAAGTGAACTAAATAATTAAGCATATTCATAGTTAAAGACTGTGTTTCAGATGGGCCTGTGTCTTTCACAGTCAGAGGCAGTGCGAGGTAGAGAGGGGTGGGGGTGAGGGAGGAGAGAGGGAAAGACAGGGAGACCTACTGACCTTTAGTGAGCAGAGATTTAGCTCGAGAGAGAAAAAAAAGGGCCCATAGCCTACGGAGCTGCCGTCATACTATACCATCGGAGACGCAGAATCACTATCTATGCTGCTGCATGTGGGCGGCAGCTGATAATGTGCCAAAAACGCTTGTACGCACATTGGGTAAGTTTGTAAAGTTGATGCATGACAACAACCAAACCGCCAAAGTAGCAAAGGCGTGTCACTCAGGCTACAACACACAGCTCACGTTCAAGCCTCCGGGACTCAGGTATGGAGGAGACAAATTAAGCCATCGTGGATGTATAAAGCCTTGACAGTAAAATTCAATGACATGAACTATGATTTTATTTCAGAAAGGGCTAACTAACCAGCCACCATGAGCTCACTTGAAGATTGCCACAGCTAAATGAAATAAAAAGACTGATGGCTTGCAGGTATGGTATCATTTCAAAGACATGCATTCAGTCGTCGGTGAAACCTTGTAAATCTCTTCCCTACTTGTTTTTTTTTATTTTTTTTATTTTTTTTTTATTTTTTCTTCTTCTCCTTTAACGGTGTAGCTAATGTAACAAAATAGCCGGGAAGTGTGGGTTATGTTTAGGTCATGACCCAGTTCTCGAGCGAGTCCAGAGACGCCCTGAATCTTAGGCGGAGAGAATATTTCTGCAAATAAAAATTAAAGCCGCCCCTCTTGTCACTGCGCAATATCACACAATGCTGTTAGACTCTCTCATTTTTGCAAATATAGGGGTGTCCATGTTTTTTTTTTTTATGTATTTATTTATTTATGTATTTTTTTTATGGTAGCACATGTATGCCACCTAAATGACAAGGAAGCGTTGAAACCTGGGCAGTGCTTTTACTGTGTGCAAATGGGACATTAGGCTTGTCTTTCTTTTTCTATTCCCATCCCCCTCGTAGCCTGACATCATTTATATCTGTCATTTCCTACAAACAAGACGTGGGGTATACACACAATGATAAATGGCCGAAAAGCCCAAGTGTAGAAATTCATCTGCAGGCTATTTGAGTCTCCAAAAGAGTTCTAATATCTCGATTTTATGATGCCTGAAGCAATTATTGCGGAGTTATCAGTTTTATTTAACTGGAGCTTAATTTGCGGTGGGTTTTGTGTTTGTGTGTGTGTGTCTGGGCATACTTTCCTCTGCTTTGTTGTTCATTTAAACCAAGATAGATCTGGTGTGGCCATTCCACCATTTTCATGTTATCCTTGCGCATGTGTCTGATAAATCAGTTGATCAATCGAGTGATTTTATAATTGAGTAGCCTAGGGTCTGTCTGAAAGCCCTTGGCCATGAAGGCAGCATAGGTGAACGTTTAAGTACAGCGTTCATCTAATACAAGCAACAGCCTCTGGCCAGTGCTGATATATTTAGGTCAGCGTTGATTTAGCTGATGTCAGTGTGCAGGTTAGTGACATTCACACACACTGAACTTGAGTGAGCAGTCTATTGTCTTACCTGTGGTGAAGAGCACAATTGCCTTTAAGCAGCTATATTCAGCAGAGTCAACGTGCAAAGCTTTGAGCTTTTCCACTTGTTCTTGGAAGATCCTAATGTGGTCCATAAAGGCCACCACTCTGTCCGCAGACATGGGGGAGGCGTGAAGGCCAGCCGCCGCTAGGAGAGGAGCCACATGCAGGGGCATGGAGCACTGCGCGGCGTTGAGCACAAATAACTCACTCCACGTCAACCTCAGCAGAGCCACCTGGTCTGTGATCTGAAGGTCTGGAAAGAAGGGAATATTCCTGGCCCACTCCACGGCACTGAAGAGCATCCTGGCTGCTAGTTCACAAATGTTCTCGATACCCATTATGTTGTTGGGTTGCATGCACTGACTGCCATACCGGGACGTCGGGTAGGGCTCCGCTCTCAACAGAAGAGAGATATATCCGGATAAGTAGGAATGGCAGTGGAGTGGGTCTCCATTTGTCAAGGCGAACTGACCGTGGTGTGGCTGTGTGGGTGGCACCCGTCCCCTTTGCACGGCTGCAGTAAAAAGAGAAACTACAGATATTGAAGCCTGAATTCTACAAATGATCACAGACATTCTGAGCATTAAGGGTGGCTGTTAAACAGTACAGTATTTTAAAGTGCAGAAAACTGAAATCTGAACGCCAAGCTGTAAATGTTTACTAGCCTGTGCAAGATCAAAACACACACACACACGCGCACACACACACACACACGCTCACATTATTGCCCGAGTTTAAAAAGAGAAAAGACACAGTGCCTTGATAATAAAGAGGCTGTAGTGTGAGAAACCGTACACTGAATATACATATATATAAATTTAAAAAACAAACAAACAGGGATGCGCTTTAAACACAATTAAGACAAGCCTCGCACATGTCTAGCTTTAAATTGTTGTTATTCAGCAACAGCAACATGAGCTGGCTGTGAAGGAACACAAAGAGGGCAAGGGAGACCTTGCATGTTTAACCCTTAACCTACTTAGCAATTCATCTCGTTTTACCCCATACACGAAGGCCTATTTTAGACTAAAATTCAGATAATTTAGACGGAGCGCGGTCGTTCTTTTTTTAAACGCACAGTGTCACGCTAATGTCCAGCTTAAGACACAGAGAACAAGGCGAGCGGCTAGATGTGGAGATGTAGCCAGAACACGCTATCTCTTAATTCGCCACTCGCCATAATAGCGCAGAGGGCTATTGTATCATAAATTCAACACAGATGTATCTCTACGGCAGTCACGGTATCACATTATATTCGGCAGCTTCAGTTTGGCCACGGGTGGGCTCGTATTTGTCAAATGCAGAGCTATAACGCACTGGCGCTAGACACTGTAATGCATGGCTAAAAGGAACATCCGGAGAGCCCCGTCTCGACCACAGGCAGAGAGCGGCTCCATTGCGTGCTCCAGCCGCACAGCCTTGGAGGGAAAAGTCGGGAGAGGAAACATGCTGTGGGGGCGACATGATATGGTTCGATGTCTAAAATCTACAAACGCACAAACACACACATGGATAAGAGAACAAAAAATCCCAATACCTTCCCGTCTCATGCCGACTTTAAGGCATTTTTTGAGGCGGCAGTACTGACACTGATTGCGGTGGTGTTGGTCGATTGGACAATTCCTGTTGGCACGGCATGTGTAAGTGAGGTTCCGTCGTACGCTCCGTTTGAAGAAGCTCTTGCACCCCTCGCAAGTAAACTGGCCATAGTGTTTGCCACTAGATTTATCCCCACAGACCACGCATTCAATGTGCTGTGGCTGTTTCTCCGACTGCTGCGACGTCTGGTTCGTCGGCGTGGACTGTGTGTTGTTCGGGGGTCCTTGGACCGGAGTCTGAGGGGTCGGAGGGGCGACCTGAGAGGCTGTCAAATTCAACTGGCCTGCTTGAGGTGTGGGAAGAGATAGTCCTCCTTGGGTTTGCGAGGAAAGGGTGCCTTGGGTGTCAGCCACATCGTCCTGGGAGCCTCTCCACACTACCATTGCCATATCTATCAGTCAACGTAAAGAAACTTTTTGTCTGCCGTTTTGGTGTCGCGGTGAATAATGTCTCAAGGAAACGCGGTAAACTGTGATTAACAGTCGGACACACAAAATGCCAGATCTAGCCTACGCTGAATCCAGTCTGAATCTCCCGAAAACTGTCGATTTATTGCTGTTGGAGACGTTGCCGAAGCACGTTTTCAAAACTGATGCGATGGCGAGCTGAGTCGCTGCCTTGCGCTTAAAGGCCAAGTCCAGGGGCGCTTACAGTCAGCCATCCAGTACACCCATCAATGGGAAAAGGTGGGTTAAATATTCAAAAATAACCAACCGAGGTAGCATGGGCTAGTCAGTGGATGATGGAGCAGGTTGATAAGACCGTGCTCGCAGCAGCATAAAACAATTAGTGAGCACACTGTAGCAGCTACTATCAAGTTCCAGCACAAGTCTTGGAGAAAATCACCAACTGGGTAAAAAAAACAGAAAAGAAAAAAACTGCGTCTTCTTCCTTTTCTCCTTGTGAGGTAGCGCCAGCAAGCGCGCAGCTGAAGCCAATGTTTTGAGAGCTTGGAATATGAAGACAACTCTTCCCCCAAAAAGCGAAAGCACTAAAACAAAAAACATAAAAAAACAAGGATCACAACCTACAAACCTCCTCCGTGCACTGAAAAATAATAGGAAAAAGGAGAAGAGAATCAAAGTGATCAAATATGTTAAAAAGGCGGAGGTTAGGAAGTGATTTGCGATTGGTAGGAGCCGGGCTGGCAGAATGCTTTCTCTCTGATCAGCTCACTGAGCTCTCTATATAGTGAACTTTGACACGACTGCTGCAACTTAGCACACGTTACCATGGAGATCTGCTGCCATATAAGGAAGGAGAGTGTGTTTGACTGGTCAGAGCTCAGGGACCTCCCCCTGAACCCCATTGGCTAGTCGGCACTTGTGCTACTTGGTACCTTGCCAGAGCCAGCATGGAGGTCGAGAGGGCCGCTTGGTCCTAAAAAGAGACGTATTTCGGAGAGAGTATTCACTGATAGTCACTCAAATCACCCAGACTATAAGGTATACTCACATGCAGCCTGGTAAAGCTTTAGCAATTTCAAGTGGGGAAAAAAGGAAAATATCAATAATTCAATGCACTGCATCATGTCGCGCTACAGTATATCCGGTAACCCTATAACAAGCTGAAATATAAAAGAAGATAGAGATTTTTTTCTCTTTTCTTTTTTTTCTTATCCCTGAGACACAGATGCACCTTCTTGGCATGATCTGTGTTCATTACAGTCTTGATCCTTTAGGTATGTGGATATAAAGACAGACTCCACTGCTGAATGAATGAAAAAACAACACACAAAAGAAACAAAAAAAAGGCTGTGTGATGGGCTACGTTAATTTAAAACTGGTGATGCTGTTACCTAGACCAAATAACATGTTTATTATTATTGATAATAAATGCACATAAAAAATCAAAACAAGTGTAGGCTTCGATTTGTCTTTCCATGCACACTGTAAAACCAGACACTGAATAAGGTCGCTCCCCATTTAAAGCAGAAGAGAAGAAAACGCCACCTGGATTTCTTTATTTCTCATTCTAAACAAACCTCTATATTTCTACCAGGCTAATAGTACATATTAGTGCTTTCCAATCGTACCAGGTGCTACACATCACAATCCACATGTCTCGTGAAATCGTCGCTATCGCCTGGTGAAATCATCCCACAGCTCGCCGTTGCCTAACAAAAAAATCCCGCAAGCCACAAATATTAATCATCTGCATGGTCAGGGGGTCCAAAAGCATGATTTCTCCAAAGACAGTTTTGTCTGTATATGTGGTCAGCGCTTGAGACGACTACAGCTTTAAATGCGGAGCACAATTAAAATGTCACTCGAGGTCAAAGGCCATGCCCTTCACTTTAAGGCTAGGGTGAAAGCAGAGTCCCAGTATTGACACGCCACACAAAAACGATACCTTAATACTTGTCGGATTTTGCTCACTAAAATAAATAAAATAAAAACATCTTATTTTAATGGCGATAAGAAACAAAGTAAGCGATGCTGTGTTTGTAACAAGGGGGAGAATGGCTGTGCTCACATGGTTAATAATAATAATACTAATAATAATAATATATTATATTGATATTTGTGTGTATTTGAACGGGGCTGATTTACTTTCACCGTGGCCTGAGGCTATCAAACTTGAACTGCAGGTAAAACTTTACAGAGCCCTCCAGATGAACCTACAGCCCGGTCACTGTGTTAGCCTGTAGAGAGAGCAGCAGCAGCAGCAGCAGCAGCATG